TACATTTCCTCATTTTGTTTTGGCCGCCGGGAACAGAAGGAAAAAAAAAAGATGGTGGAGTTGAACCTGTGGATGTAGAGGAGGAGAGGACCACTGTGGCACAAGCAGGTGGGCTGTTGCAGTTTTTAATGGCAGCCAATTCATAACTAAACAGAGACGGACGAGGGGAGGCTGGGGTGTGAGGGCGGGAGAGCATGGATCGCCACGCAGGAATGAGTCACATGACCACGTAAGCCAGAGACAGAGAGGCAAAGGAGCCAATCACACAGGGTTTCACTTCAGCGAAACATTCAGAATCCTCACCGGCCGTCTGATCTGCAGTTAACTTTAAAAACGTGACACACGGTCCACAAACAGAAGCATGTCGGTAGCAGGTGTAAACCTCAGTGTTTTGGATGGTCTGAGCCTCCAGTTTGGTCTCATGTCAAACAGTTAAATTCAATAAACTCGAGACTTCACTGGCGACAAACACATAAAATGGTGTATTTCAACACAAACTAACATTTTTAAAAAAATCTAAAATCTAGCAAATAGTTTTTAATGATAATAACCAGATTCAGTGAACAAAAACCCCTCAAAACTCTAAAAACCTCAAAAGATTAGCAACACCTGCTGCCTTCAACAGTTACCATGAACAAGCAGCCAGAGACCAAACCTGCGTCTTTTGTTTTTCTAACCAAGTCAAAATTCAACGGAGGAATCTGAAGCAGTTGGACTTACTGAAAGCAGCGTGAGCAGGACGGACAGCAACAACATGGACACTGAGGCACGTTGAGAACAGGGAACAGCAGAAACAGTGAAAGCACAGTTTAACCATCTAACGAACACGCACACGGCAAGGCTAAGGTTTAAAAACTAGCGATACGGACAGAACTGGCACTGCAGGGGTTTGCACAGGTTTGGAGGATGTAAAGGAAGAAGAAGCAAAGTGAGGCATCAAGGGAACGTTTAGGATTCAGTTCCCTCTCCGAGCAGTCCTCTAAATGTTCAGGTTAAGGGAGTGATTGTCCTCTTGAACACACCTCTCCTCCCCTCCTCATCTTAACCAAAGCGTTCCTTGTCTTTTTTAACCTCCCCCTCCTCTTCATCCCACAACATTTGGCAGATTTTCTTTCCATGTATTTGCTCTTTCATTTTTACATGCGCAGACACACATACACACGAAACCCTGTTACCATAAACGACATTTACACACACATACACGCACTCTCCCACGAGCAAAGACACAACAGGTGGATGCGTTTAGATCCAGTG